TTCAGAATTGCTGCGCCACCACCTTCCAGAAAAATTTAAATGGTATATTTTCCAGTTTTTTAATTCAAAAACACTGAAGGGTGATGGCGCAATTCTGGCTTCAGTTTCAGATTCTGTGCGACGAGATACGAGACACTTGTGTAAAGTCTTCGGGTCTGACAGCAACCCGCAAAACAAAAAAGTACATTGTCATGAAGTTTTTTGCGATTAAAAAAGTGGAGGGTGATGACGCGATTCTGGCTTCATCAAAATACATATTCTATCAAAATTCATTCTCTAATGAAAAACATTTGTCAAGTCTTTGAGTCTGGCAACTTCTTTGTGTGTGTGTGTGTGTGTGTGTGTGTGTGTGTGTGTGGTGTGTGTGTGTGGTGTGTGTGTGGTGTGTGTGTGGTGTGTGTGTGGTGTGTGTGGTGTGTGTGGTGTGTGTGGTGTGTGTGGTGTGTGTGTGGTGTGTGTGTGTGTGTGTGTGTGTGTGTGAGCGCGCGCGCGCGCGCGCCTGTGTAATTAGATGCACTAATGTAAACTGTTTCAGTAAAGAGAATTCCTCATATTTATAAATAATGATAGTTTGTGCCAGGTTGCCTTTACATGCATTATGGAGGTAAGTGGGAAATTAAACTTAATTTGGTTTGTATTGCAGTTAATTGAATTGTATGGAATTATTTTTGTGATTAAATTTGGAGTAGTATTTTTTTCTGACTGTGAGTACATTCACCAAGACATTAAAAAATAGAAGTTTCTAAATCAATTATAGACAATAAAAAACACGAAGATTTCGAGCTCATGGGAGATTTATTTTTCATAGTACATGAAAACAGCTTGATGATTCATAGTTCAATATTATGACATCATCAGGTGGATATTCTGTAAATTTACAATAAGTGTTTTGAAAATGTAAGAACCAATACAGAATAAGTAAACAAAATTGGTTTTTGTAAAAACTAAAATAAATCACACCGAATCACAATTAAAATTAGAGAAGGACGACATTTACTTTGCCCATTTTCTATTTTACTAACAGTTGTTAACTTAAAAACCGGCACCGACGCACGAGACAAAAGGAGTTTTCTGAAAATTTCCAATAAAACGTGTTTAAGAACAGGTTAATACAACGTATAAAAAATATTAATTGCTAAATAATTGGTACACACTGTTGAAGACAAAACATATCGAATTTAAGATTGCCACACAAGAATGATTGGATGAAGAATATACACTCTCTTTATACTAGATATTTGTACATAAAATGTCTACTTTATAAATAATAAGAAAAAAGCCCAAAGAGACACGAGACCTAAGGAAAATGAAGATCCACCTTGATAAAATCTTAGTTTTGCGCCGTTTGGTCAAATAAAGAGACCAATTATTACCCTCTTATTTGACCAAACAAGTCTATCCTTATAATGACTTTCCATAGCATCGATACCTTAGTTAAATCGTCCACTATGTTCGTTACTCACATCTCCAAGAGTAGATCGAATGAAATCTAAATGGGAATGAAGAAAATGTAATTTCATAGACATGGTGCACCTCATAGCCTTGTAATGGTCCAGCTTGTGTTCCGTCAATTCCTTGTAATTCTCAAACATTAGGTTTCCAAAGAATTGTCACATAGATCTTTCAATGCAAGCCAAACTACCTTCTCAGTAACTATCAGCTGACTGTTCAAAGGTAATATCTTTCATCAGATCATGGATCTAAGGTCCAATTAAAACTCCTTCTTTAATTATTGCAGTACTAATTGTAGGAATTTTAGATAGTAAAAATTGAAAACCCTATCCATTTTTGTCCATTGCGGGATCCATTGTGGGATAAAATAAATAAAAGTTATAAATATTAATTATTTGATTATAAGGTTTATGATTCATTACAGTATTATACTTGACACGGATTCTACGCATAAAATTATGTAAGTAATGATTCAATGTAGATTTTTATTTAACTTAGTTTTAATTAATTTACATGAAATGTCACTTCAAATTAACTTCTTCCCATTAGCACAAATTGCCATGGCGTGGCGTTGAACATTATATTAGGGACCGTCCATAATTTACATAACACAAATTTGGAGTGTTTTGAGTACCTTCTCTCCACTCTGTAACGCACCGTTAAGCGCGATTGAACCCGTCATAATAATCAAGTAACGCTTGCAACAACTTCCTCCTCATTATAAATGCAAGAAGTGAAAATATATTATAGCGCAGGAAAAAAATTGCATTTTTTGTGTGTGTTATACAACTTTATGGTAATTACTTACCCTAACAAGAAGACTTGAGTGCAAATTGTGAGTGAAGGAAGGGCGAGAAAATTTCTGGTCACAAGCCGTGGGCACGCTGCCGTTTTGAATAGCGTACGGGCGAGAGTCTACTGCGTCAATTTAATTGTATTCTACAAAATAATACAGATCAGTTTTGCATATTTTCTTCGTAATCTTACCGATCCAATACAAAATTGATGAAAAATATTTCCATTTATTGTAACAACTTCTAATAATATTAATTTTAAAAAAATTAAACAATATTTTAATGTTTTAGACTAAAAAAGAATGAATTTCTACAAATGTTGAATAATATAAAAGAAATAAAATTGTACGTAATACTACTCGAATACCCCCTGCCCCTAAGTAACGCAGCGTAATGTTGCCTCAACTCCCCCCCTCTTTAGCGTTACGTAATTTATGGACCCCTTAGAATAATCCTTTCCAAACCTATCTTTATGAACAAATGTGAAAAAGTAAACAAGTTACATGGTAATTTATTGATGTATTGAAATGATGTGTGAAACTACGAAGAACATAGACGTGAGTACAATTATTTTCTTTTATCTTAGATTTGTTCATTTTTACTTCCTCACGCTTAAGAAGGAACTTCTTAAGAAGAGAAAGTTGAGAAATGCTGCGAAAACATGGCGAATTTTCGACAGAAAACTCTTATAATATTGCCCTGGTAACGAAAAGTGGATAAATACAGTTACTAAATTAAAAAAAAAAAACCTCTAACGCCTGGTGAGCGATTCCATGTTTTGTGGGTCCTTGATACCGAAAAGTCGATTGACGACAAAACGTCTGTCAGCCGGTCGGACCGTTGTCTGTTTGTCCGTCTGAGAATACCACTAGTGCTAAAATCACTCTATAAGATGACATAAACGCCATATTGCTCTTTTTTTTTTATTTTTCAAAAATTACACAGATGTAACTTTTTTTACTTGTGTCTCACGTCGTCAATATTTTCGATAGCGACAATTTATAAACCCTATTGTATTTGTGAGTTCATGTGCTTAAAAAGACTTCTAATAAACATTGAGTTTTTTGGTAAAAAAAAAAGAGCTTCAAATTTCAAATTAACACTAACGCTTAAACGCCATTTTCTTACAAATCGGCTTCAAATTTTTCAAAGAAAATTGCCATTTAGAACGAGGTTTGACTATTCTTTAATGTTTTTAAAATAATATTTCCCTTCCACTTTTCGGAAAGAGAAAAATTAAGAAAATGTAAAAAGAATGTAATTTCGGCGGCGATAGATGGTAGCTGGCAAGAATATGTGGCTAGTCCAAATAGGGCCCTAGTCAAGATCAAAGGAAATAGAAAACTAATACAGGAAAGTCTGTGTCATTTTGAAGCACCATTGTAGTTTAGATATTAATTGTGAATCATGTTCGATGTAATACTATCTACCGCAATTGTCAGATGTTTTTCTTTATTTGTTTTAACCCTTTCCGATGTCCAGGAAACTACATCTCACATTCGCGGATTTAACATTCGCGATGTTCTTTGGGAACCTGACTCTCGCAATTATCGAGAGATTTCTGTATTAAGTATTAGATCATATTTTCTCCCCATCTCCGTCAAAGTTGAGTGCAGCGCACCCTCTCATGAACCAGCGTCATGTGAAAAAAAAAGACTAGAATATTCCAGATAACGCTGCACACACCTGCGTAAACCATGCATCATAACTTGCTGCTAAATATAAACACCGTAGCAATTGGATACTAGCTCTTTCCACCATGCTAACGAGGTAATTGTTTGTAATTGCATTTGGTTATTTACATGGTGATTTGTGCAATTGATGTGAGAAGTACATCCGCTTATATTCGAAAAGGGAAGTAGTAAATTGATTCGGTATTGTGCTTCTGTAGCATATTTAACTGAATTTTGTGAAATGGCTTTTTTGACCTTTGCAAAATCCTAAATGTAAGGTAGTTTGAAAACTATTGAAGAACTTAAAGTGTAGTCGATTGCGATTCAATGTGCATAACATATGTGTATGCCTCACTGGTCAAAAGTTGACGGTGCCCATTCAATAAATAAGTCAATAGAATAAACCGTGTCATTGAACGAAAGAATCAATAGATTGAAATGCTAAGTAGTAGAGCTCTACCACGCCAAAAAATGTACTCACCAAATTCAAAAATCACTTCTGTCATACAAACAAATATTGTAACATGTGAAAAACAAATAACATTCTTTACCATTAAAAACAACACAATAGGCCATGGCAAAATTATAATGCATTCGTAATACAAGGCTGTCAATTCAAACTATTGATTCTTTCGGTCTATGACACGGTTTATTCTATTGACTTATTTTCTGAACGGGCACAGTCAATTTCTGATCAACGGAAATATTTTTGATGAATAAATTTTTTGATCGTTATGAGTGGATTTGTAGAAAGAAGGGTGAAAAATAACATAAATGGTTTGTAACCCTCCGCAGAGGAGGAGACAGATAGGCCGTGCCTCCTGGAAACTTTGAAAGTGCCCCGTAATCTTACTAATAAAACATTTTCCCGTAAATATTTATCCCATAATAATAAATAAAATTAATAATTTCTCCTTAATAAAATCCCATTTCTCTACTTCTATGTAGCCGATGACGATGAAATGTCAGGGCCTTCAAACAAAAGGATGCGTCGATGAAGGTGAGGTGCATCGGCTTCGAAAATATTTAATTTTCCTTCTTTGCCTTATTAATTATCAACTTTGTTGTTTTTTTAGTTGAAATGATTCAACGGCCGTCATATTTAGTAGCAGGTAACTATAATGCTTGTAGCTATTTATAATTACGTAAATAAGAGAGTTAGCGAGAGAGGATTAGTGAGGGGCAATTCTCTTAGAAACATCCAAGTATTTTTTGCCTTTGGGTTTGACGCACGGCAGTGAAGGAAGTGTTTAACAGACAAAAAGCTCTAAGTCCTAAAATATGGGCTCTTTTATCATATTTCATTTCATATAAGTTCAATATTTAGTAAATATGAGTAGTTTTTTTAGCTACTGACATAAAATGGGATGAATCCCGTTTTTACAATTTTATACATAAAAACACCAAAATGCACGTTGCTCTAGCGGTTAAATGGTAGGTTGTAGAAAAGCCCTTAAGTCATACAATGTAAGCAGATTTATTTTCTTTCATTTCATATATCATCATTATTGGCAAAAAGTGATTGGTATTCGTACTATTTTGAAAAAAATAAAGCTGAAAAATGTCGGATTTTTAACACGTGTTTTGTGAAAGAAGCAAAATGTTTCCGGGCAAAATGTTTGTTGGCATAATTGATATTCGTGTTCAGCGACCCTAAAAACGTATAGGACCCAAATATCAAAACTACACCGAAACTTTTGCCTATTTTCTATTTTTTTTACGGACTACCAGGCAATAGAAGCACGCGGAAGAGTTGGGTAATGGGAGTTGGATGAGGAGAAAGTGTTATGGTTTCGTTCAACAGAGTCTGCGCCTAATAACTAAGCTAATATCGACCCTTTCATATGATTTTTCCTAAATTATTGTTTTTTTTTGTTGGTTTGTTTTCTGATCTGTTTAAAAAAATGTTCATTGTAACCGTATGTGTATCTTACTTCATCAATGTGCAAAAGGTTTAAAATCCTATTGCGTGCAAATCGGTCTTACATGCTATAGCTTGCCTTCGTTCAAGGAATTGTTTGAGGCAAAATGTGCGTGGTTATTTGGACAAATATGCCGTCCCTCCAAAAGCTCAACCCACCGACCGCCACAGATTAAGACTTTCATCATACCAAAAATTAATAATTTCGAACAAAGGTAACAACCATTGTGCCTTATTGTTAACCTGTAAAACTCTTTATGTTTCAAAGGCACTAAAATTGAAGCTCATACTAACTTATTTGTAGGTACTTGGAACCAATTCTCTGAGCTTGTAATTTTAAATCAATTAAATAGTTTTCTTTTCGAATCGTAAATATGCCAAATCGATTTATAGCGAAATTATATTTTCATTTTTCAAAATAATTTTTTATAATTGATGACTATGAAAACCAATAATAGAATTACACCATTTCACATGATTATCTATATTACCAAATTCCAATATGCGCAGAAATTGAAAGAGAATTCCGCATCCTCCGGCCATGGTTTCCTGAACTACCCAGGAACACTGTGAATATCCGAAGACAATAACCTTTTGGTATTATTCCACCTATTCTCATACTGCGCGTACCTACTGAATCGTACAAAGTGCATCACTGCTTCTGGTTCGTCATGCGACAGCAAGGTTCTGAGAAAGAGGCTACCAGCCATTAAATATTTGCTATTGACGTTGCGTTGTGAAACAGTAACTTTTTTAGTTATCTCGATATGTAAAAACGTTATTCCATAGATTAACACTGCCCATGCATCCTTAATTGAAGTGTCCAAGACTTGTAATAGACAGCTGTAATGGTTCGAATTTTGATATATATATCCTTTAATTTGTGGCAATCGTTTTTAGTATTCTCTCTGTAAGCTGTTCAAAAATTGCGCTATTTACCATCATGAAACGTTCACATTACTCATTGGATCCAGGACTACATACAAAATGTACGATTAAATAATTAATTTTCATCTTATCTTCCGATTTCTCCCATGCTTCATGTGGTAATAAACTATTCGTCTGTTGAAACATGTAGAACTAACACGCGGGTAATTTTACGAAGTATATAAAAGTATTAATAAGCAGAATATGAAGTACCATCTTGAAAATATTTGTCTTCATGAGAATAATTTATACCTAAAGCAAACGAACTTGCACTGTGCACTTCGAACAGGGAAATGTAAGCATTTTTTGTAAAGACATATTTTGCTTAAAATAGAATAAATATTCGTTCTCAAAAAATGGCAACATTGTAAATCAGTTATTTGTTCTGTGGCGTGGTCATTCGCTTAGTAATTCACGAACCGATTACGGCCTATCGTACTCTGGACCCTTGGAACTCCGTGGACGGATCCGCCGGCACCGAAAGGCGTTCTCTGTATCGTTCACTGCCGTCCGTGGCGGTCTGGGGTGGTCCGATCGTCGATCTGCCTCTTTGGGAATCCGGGGGCAACGAAAGGATATCCGAAGATGGCTTGTTGCAGGTTGATGGGGCTTGTTAATAGTGTGGCGAGAACGAACACAAGATTCTCACGGTTAATAGGTATATATGATGTACCCTACATACAGTATGTATAAATAGGTCGTACTTTGAACTATGTTCATTTTCATCTATTTATTCAACGGGATTGAGAGAGTATTTGTACCAACTCGATAATTGGGAATTGTTTTAATTTTTTTGACACGTCTTGTCAGAAATAACTCCTATATTTGTTGTGGTAAAGTATATATTAAGTTTGATGTGTTTGGAATTTTTTATATATATCTTTTTTTTCGCGTATGAAAGGAAATTCTTTAATAATATACAAACGATTGTTAATATTTTTATCATTGTTAATATTTCAAATTAATTTTTTATTTTTTTAATTTCCAGCACCTGTACCTGTCAGGTTATATGCCTCCTTGACCAGTGACAATGTATACACAAAGTGTAAAATAGTAGATGGAGTATGTGTTGTAGGGCTAGATATGCCAGATTCTAAGGTAAATACAATAACTAATTTATTTAGAAGTATTAATTAAATGTGTGTGCACAATGTATTGTCTACTAAGGATTACATAATCCAGGGTGAGTGTACATGACTTGTCTTCCTGGTTATAGGTCAACACCTTGAATCATGGACTTATGGAAGAAATTGAACAGGTTTTGCGACAGATTGATACAAATCCCAGTATACAATCTGTTGTCCTCATTTCAAAGAAGCCAGGATGCTTCATTGCAGGAGCTGATATTGGTATGCTGCAGTCATGCAAAACGAAAGAAGAAGTTGTCAAAGTGTCCAGAGATGGGCAGAGAATTCTGGCCTCCATTGAAAATAGTAAAAAACCTGTTGTCGCAGCAATTATGGGATCATGTTTAGGAGGAGGTCTAGAGGTAAAAATAATAGTGTTTTTTGCAAGTGGGTGATTGAGGAAGGTGGAGTAATAATTTTCTTAATATAGGTTGCTTTGGCCTGCCACTATCGTATTGCTGTGAAAGATCGCAAGACTGGTGTGGGTCTGCCAGAAGTGATGCTGGGATTGTTACCTGGTGGAGGTGGAACTCAGCGACTTCCAAAGCTTACACCAGTTCCAAATGCCCTGGATATGGCGTTAACTGGTCGGACTCTCAAAGCTGATAAAGCCAAGAAATTGGGCATTGTTGACTTGCTGGTAAATCCCCTTGGACCTGGGATTGATTCTCCTGAGAACAGGTGGGGCAGTTTTGTATTCTTACAGAAAATGTTTCATCTCGTATTGCTCTTTTAATTGGGGAAAACAGATTTAAATGTTTTCACTGTTTATATTGACACATGTTCAGAATTTGGCTATTGTATACATGTTAAGCCCACTGGTTTAAAGCATTTGTACATACTGCAATTTACGGCCATTTTTAGTACCTACTTATTTATTTCATTTGTGATTCCATTAAATCTTTGAATAATAAAGTAAAGATCAAGAAATATTTGTTAAATGACAATCAAATTCATGTGAAGATTGCAGCGAGTATTTATGGAAATAGTTGTCATTATAGAGAGGAAAAGTTGTTTTTTTTTTCAAAACGTGCATGGATTTTCACGCAGAATTGAATTGATAAATTATTTATGAATTTCATCTAAATTTGATTACCTATAAACTATTGTGGGTACTATGAAAATAACTTAAATTGCATGATTCAGTGTATTCGGGATATGCCAGAATGTTAAGGAGAAAGACCCGCCAATTTTCTATGCTAATTGCAGAGGATAAATGTTTTTTCTTGTTTTTAAAGGTTTATTTAATACTTAGAAATCATGATATTGCTTTTTGATTTCACTAGTTTATTGTCAAATGCTCATAACATTCTAGAACATTTTCAAATGTGCAATGCTGAAAATGTCTTGAGTATCAGAATTATGGTGTGAAGGTGGGAGTCACTGTATTTTTCAATGGATTCTGAAAATATGTTAGTCTATTGACAGTGGGTGTTCACAACATGTGGCTGTCTGGCATAAATGAGCATAAATGTTTATAAAAAGCAGTTTTTCAGAAACTACAGGAAACTTTTCTTATACCCATACTTGCATTTAAATGGGTGGAAGTCTAGAATACGATATAACTTAAGGAAGTCATTTAAACTGACACTTTGTGCCACTCCGGCAAGGGCGAAATCTACTGAGGCGGGGTGATTAGGAGGTCACGAGGGGAATCTTTTGGTGGGAAGGGGCAGTGAGCAATGTATGTAACTTAGAACATGCTTATAATAAGCCAAGTGTAGACAGTTTTGACTGTGGACGGAAAGACTTCCGTGCCATTCAATAGCCTGAAATGTATTTTCATTCTGAAATTTTGAGCTGTGGTTATTAAATTATTTGTTTGCAAATAACTCTGTGATTTGAAGCAAATGACATTTTGAATTAAATCAATTTTATTATATTAAATTATTTGTGCATGTAAATTCTATGATTGAGCTAAAAAAATGGAATTTTGAATGAATTTTACAATTTTTTGTTAATTGTGCCTGGTAATTTGTTTTAATATATTAAATAAATTAGAGACCACATTTAAGAAAGAATTGCAAATCTGAGTTAAAATAGCAGGAAATATGAAGGTAAAATGTGCTTAATTATAATTTTTATGAGCCTGTTTTTATTATTATTATTATAATAAAATTGTCATTTGTATGACTTGCAGAACAATGCAGCACTTGGAGGAAGTTTCAGTTCAGATTGCAAAGAAACTAGCAACAGGTGAAATGAAAGTTGATCGTTCTCCAAAGTCTCTGATGGATAAAGCCATGAGTTTTGCCCTGAAGTACAACTGGGTCAGAGACCAGATTTTTGGCAAGGCTGAGGCACAAGTGAAGAAAATGACGGGTGGTCTGTACCCTGCTCCTCTGAGGGTGAGATACCTAATTTTAAAGTACATCCCTGTCTTAATGCAATTCGGTCATTTCAGAAAACTTCTTTGGGAAAGCCAAACAATAGATCGTCATTCCAAAAGCCAAGTATTGCCCTAGTACTTACAAAGTATTTTTAATTGATAGGCTAACGAATGGAGGATAAGAAATCAGAGTAATAAAAACTATGATTCTATGTTCAGTAAATATTTTAAGTGATAATTATGGTAATGCATTTCTATACTTGTGATTAAGCTAGTTTTCAATCTTGATTATTTTTTAGAGTTGTTGAAAAAAATAACCAATTTTTGAAGCTTAATTGTGTTGGGGAAGGTGTGTGTTCAAATGATATTACTCATCCATTCATAGTTCCATCTTTTATTGTGTGTAGATTCTGAAAGTAATCAGGACTGGATTGGAAAAGGGCCCAGTTGCTGGATATGAAGCAGAGAGTGAGGGCTTTGGGGATCTCGCAATGACTCCTCAGAGCAAAGGCCTAATGGGACTGTTCAAGGCTCAGACAGAATGCAAGAAGAACAGAATCGGGAAACCCCAACGTCCGGTCAAGTAAGTGTTTGTGGTTTGAGAATGTTTTATTGTGTACATATTTTTGATATGGAATTCATTATAATGTTTTATTGTGTACATATTTTTGATATGGAATTCATTATACTGTTTTTTGCAGGAATATTGCTGTATTAGGCGCTGGCTTGATGGGTGCAGGTATTGCTCATGTATCCATTGACAAGGGGTATAATGTTATTCTGAAAGACACTAGTGTTCAAGGATTGGCACGTGGGCAAGGTCAAATACAGACTGGGCTGGACACAGCAGTGAAGAGAAAGAAACTTATTGCGTAAGCAATTTCAAATAATGTTTTATTCACATCCCTTTAAAGTAAGATTGTTGCATGAAAGTCTTAAAAAGCAATAAGATTGTAGTATGTATGTAACCTGTGGGATTTGTTGCAGTCTTGAAAGGGATAGATTTATGGCAAACTTGCAACCTACATTGTCATATAAAGGATTTGAGAACTGTGATATGGTAATAGAAGCTGTGTTTGAAGATTTGAAGATCAAACACAAAGTCATTCAGGAAGTGGAACAGGTTGTTCCTGAGCACTGTATCATTGCTTCAAATACTTCTGCTTTGCCAATAGCTCAGGTTGCTAAAGGAAGCAAGCGACCAGAAAAGGTGAGATTTACAGAAATTCCTCATACATAGTTGATCTTGACATTTATTAATGGTTTAGAAATGATGTTAAAATACTTTATTGGGGAAAGGGATTCACAGCTGACATATTTGATTGTGCCCACTATGTATGCCCATTAATGTCGAGCGAAGTACTTCTTTCAGTTCCTAGCTTCATTCTTAATTCGTACTGGAATTATGATTGTTGGTTGTGAGCCGTTTTGAACACAAAAATAAGCACGAAGTAGTAAATAAAATCCTTATAACAAAAATTGTGTTAGAAATTCCTCATATTTATTTCAATATTTTCGTTATTGAGTTTGCTGTAATTAATTTATCAGGAATGGGTCATGATGCTATTAGGCATCCATTGGATTTTGAAGAATACTGTGTTATGTTTATTTTGGATATTTTTTTAATGAATTTATTTTTTATTCCAGGTTGTTGGAATGCATTACTTTTCTCCTGTAGATAAAATGCAATTGCTTGAAATTATTACAACCCCTACAACATCAAAAGATACTGCTGCATCTGCAGTAGATGTGGGGTTGAAACAAGGCAAAGTAGTCATTACTGTTGGAGATGGCCCTGGTTTCTACACCACCCGAATTCTTGCAACAATGCAGTCTGAAGCCTTACGCCTTGTCCAGGAGGGTGTATCCCCTAAGGATTTGGACAAATACACAAAGACTTTTGGCTTCCCTGTGGGAGCGGCAACATTGTTGGATGAAGTGGGTGTGGATGTAGCTGCTCATATTGCGAAAGACTTGGGAGAGGTGTTTGGGGATAGGTTTGGCGGAGGCAGCATTGATGTGCTCAAGGAGATGGTATCAAAAGGCTTTTTGGGTAAGTAAACTTATGGTTAAGAAGAGAGAAAAAAATCTTTAGTCTTAAAATCTTAAAAGTGAATAATAATGATGATGTGATACAATTGCATAAAATTGAAGGGTAACTACTACTGCATATGACATAATAGTTATGCAGCTTCAGTGCCAAGGAACTACTTCCAACTTGGAGAATTGCCCAGAATAATCTGGCACTTGACTTGTGACTCCTGCCCTTATTCTATAATATTGTTTTGATTTTTTTCAGGACGTAAATCTGGCAAAGGTTGCTATATTTATGAAAAGGGACGCAAAGATCGTGATGTAAATGAAGATGCCGTTGCCATTTTCAACAAGTTCCATCTGGAGCCTCGTGGTTGTTCATCTGATGAAGATCGTCAGCTTCGATTGGTTTCAAGATTTGTTAATGAAGCTATTCTGTGCCTTCAGGAGGGAATTCTGAAAGGACCTGTGAGTTATAGTAAATATATCATATGCAAAAATTTCTCTTGGTTTCTTTGTTGTTAATTTGGCAAATTTTGAATAGGTTGATGGTGACATCGGTGCTGTCTTTGGCCTTGGTTTCCCACCATTTTCGGGTGGACCATTCCGATGGGTCGATTGGTATGGTGCTGGAAAACTTGTCAATAAAATGGAGGAATTCAATGCAGCTTATGGGGCTCCTTTCCAACCATGTGATTTGTTGATGCAACATGCAAAAGACAGCAGCAAGCGCTTCTACAGTTAATATGCTTGCTTTTCCTGACCGTATTTATAAGTCTGATAAATCATTGAAGCTTGCAGCATTCAATGAACCATGTCTGACATTTCATCAATGCAATTACTGTGGTGTGTATTATAGTTCAAAGAGCTGTACTATTTTGTTTACTGGATATATAGCTTGTATATTGGAATATTGACGTTAAAAACTTTACATTTTTTTACTCAGATTGAGTTTTGAAACTTTTCTTCTACCTAGTGTTGATACCTCGTGAACTGTTATGAATAAACCAATTTTTAACATGTAAGCAGGTGTTTCAAATTTATAATGTGCTGCGAGAGTGCAAAGAACATTTGTTCTTGGGTAAATGGAACATTAGGGCATGATATGAAAATTGAATTCTGTCCAAGTAATAGAAATTAAACAAAGAATGGATTATATTTAAATTATTATAATTTAAGACATATATTATTGACTGATTTAAAAAAATAAACCTTCAATTATATTTTAAGAATCATGAATTTACAAATGTTTATTAAGAGTTTTTACTTCAGTGAGGTGGCATTTCTTCCCTTTGGATCAATAACCCTTGATAACATGTATATATGTTCATGTTATGTAAGGTGCAAAGACTACATCCTTGCCTACATTTTAATGAAACTCTCATTTCAGATCTGTTTTGAATTGTGTAACCACAATTTTTGTGTATGAAGCCCAAACCAACATGGCACAAGTGTCTTGTATTTAAATTTGTTATTTGAGTTTAAGGTATTTTGCCACCAAAACAACTACAAATAAGTGATGAAATGAATATTGTGGAATGTGTGGTGGTTTTCTTGTGCCTTTCGCTACGCAATTGATAAAAACTATGGAACAGAAAACTACTAACACTAAGATTTATGGCTACTTTCATTTGTTCAGCTGACAATCTGGACGTCGAGACACTAGCCGTGCGCGTAACATTGGTAGGCATATTATGTAAACGAAAGCGTTAATTGTTGCTGAAGCGTAGTTTTGAAGGAATGCGACATAACAATTAACCTTTGGAATGAAACCCAAAGGTTGATAGTTAACCCATTAATGATTAGCAAGTTATTTTGTTGACTACACGCACGTTGCGATATGGTCATTGAATCATTAATATTAATGACTACTAAGGTCGTGGAATTACACCTTGGGAACCCACAGTGTGATTGAAAATGATGTAACGATGAAGAAACTGAATGTGAAGTAGTGTGGTGAGTCATAAAATTACGTGACCAAAGTTCATTACGTGGAAACATTCGTTCACACTACTTTCGAGTCTGAACGAATCATCGGAAGCAGATCGTTCGTTCGCACTGAACACTCGTTGGCTAGGTTCAACTTGAGTAGTGTTGCCAAGTTTATGCGCACTAAATCTTCAATTAAAGCAAAATTTCATATATGAACATAATTTTAATTATTGAGAAATAGAAGATTACAGTACAATTATTGAATTTTACAAAGAAATTTAACTCCGAATGTTTTCAAATCTTATATCCATAAAGCAATAATACTTGCTCAAACAGATACGATAACAATATACCGGAACCCATGCTTTGTTCTTCACTCTAAGCTTAAAATGTATCTACAAGTTCTATTCGTCCTTTATATCAAGAATTTAACGTATTTGCGGAAATATGTTTTATTATGTAAGGCTAAGGGTCCCTCTCAAAATTTTCAAGGGGGCTACGGACCCGTGCCCCGCACGACCATGTGCGCATGCCTATGATTGATGTGAGCAGGTAGTGGCATCAAGTGTGTGTGTGGAGGGAGGGGGGTATAGTCCCAAATTATATACTTTTTACTAATTTTCTTTTAGAAACGAAAGTCAGTAAATATCTCAATCGAATGCGTACCGGCAAATATAGTTTAGGGCATTAAATGATGTCACTGCAGTGCCTCTGATCGGGAGGTCCTAGGATTTGAGTTTCGACGGTGGCAGGATTTTCGACACTAGCTTGTCAGATAAGTCGAATTCAGCTGCTGTTTGAAGGATAAATTCTAGCGGCCAGCTGCTGTGATCGGTAATTTTCCGTGGTTTCTCCGAGCAACAGCAAGCGAATGCAGTACTCTAACAATCGGGCCACGAACCGCGCGCGATCGTCCCTTCCTCTTCCTTGTTCTTTCCTCACCTCTTACGTACACGTAGTCCTATGCACTTCACTACAGTGGCAGATTTTCAGAGGATGCCAGGCTTACTACTCACAAAATTGGTCAAAAACTAAAATATACGTATTTCTTTACCTTAAAAATTGTTCGAATTAATTTTGTTTCAAATTGACTTAAATGTTTCCGACTGGCAAATAAGCATTTAAAAGAAGTCGTTTCTCTAACTGCAAACAGAATTACAATTCAAGATGGAGCCAACCAGTTCTATGCGTTACACGTAAGTAGCACTACCAAAAATAGCACTGTTTGTGCCAGGGGCCCAAGCTGACGCGCTTCCCCCCTGATGCCATGACAACGTCTCTCAATAAGTAAAGAGTATTTTCGTTTTGTCCAGCTTTGAAGTTTGGTTTGGCGCTGATGTTCACGCGTGTCTTGTCTCCTCCTGTGAAGGCGTCTTGCGGTCATAGACAGTGATTGTTCTGTAGCTGCAATGGATCCATAGTGTGAGACTCAGTATTTCGCAATAAAATCTTTATTGGAAGTGCCGTTTGCGCGGAGAAGTGATCTTAAAAGAAGAGAAATATTAAATCTAATTCCTTTATTTGGAATGTCGCCAATAACAGTAAATGTACAGCTTGTCATCCCCTCTTAAAATGTTACTATTCTAAATGTATGTAAATTCAGTGGTTAGGCGGAAGAGCAGGCCCTATGGCCTGAGCCTCGCCATTAATAAAGACATTATTATTATTATTATTATTATTATTATTATTATTATTATTATTATAACAGTTTACAAGTAAATTAAAAAACATTCACTTTCAATTTCACAATGATTCCATGCCTGAACTTGTCAGGGCCTCCCCAAGTTTTAAATCCACCGTCCTCCACTTCTATAATACTGAGCTGAGAGCTCGACTCGGCTGGGACCGGGACCTGGTCGGGGAAAACCCCCGCGAGCCGACATAGGTCGGCATCGGATCTCCCCAGCCAGCGGGGAAAGATCGCCGCCTCCCATAAAAAAGCATGCACTACACTTATGAGACTAATGACCTTTGCAGTTGACTCGCCCGGAATCACTAATCAATCAATCGGTGTTAGTCAATCGGAATGGAGTGATAGGGTTCGAAGAAATTGCAAAATGGCATGGTCATCTACCTTCTTACACCTCGTAACCGTACTTCTCTATAAACCTCTACCAAAACAATCGCCGGCTGGATACATTTTGATGTCAGTCATGCGTCAAGTCATTGCCTTTTATTCCTAACGGCCAGGGCCTCAGCGCCGCTAGTTTCCAGGGATCCGCGATGTCTCGAGCTGCTTAACTTCAAAGAGCTTGCGTAAAAGTTCGGCTACCGGCGCAGACTTTCCGAGGCGTATACCTGTGGTGATCAAAGTGTACCTCATGTGGTACTCTTAATCGCGATCAGTTTCCGATTTGGTTTGTATTCTTACATGACTGGCTAGGCGGAATCAATAACGGTATGTCATGATTGAGAATCATGTTTGAGTGACATGCATAATGGTTTGTGTTTATTTTCAGGAACACCCTCACATTTCAGTTGAATCCTAAAAACCCTAATCGAAAAATGGGCGGCCTTAAAATGGCAAGCGCTTCCGGCCATTTTGTGCCTTGGTCCGGAGGTCGAAAACACCGGAACCATCTTCTGTTGTGATTTCAGAAAGGAAGAGAAAATATTTCATTATTTTTATGACAGAAAGACCTCTGAGATAGTATTGTACTAGCTTCTCTTGGGGTGGCCCCAGATTCGATTCTTGGTCGAGGCAAAAAAAAAAAAAAAATAGTGGTGCCTCTACAGCACATACTTTCTCGCACTATTGGTAATAGTTATGGAATATTGAAAAATTGCAATTTCTGCCCAACTAAAACCTCAGTTATAACTTGATAAGTGCATTTCAACAAATTTTAACGAAGCGTCTCGCTTCCTTTTCTGCATTTATTTAGATAGTAGTCATTATACAAATGAACAAACTTATCTGTTACAGTATATCCAGCACATAATACAGAAAAGCAAGAATAATTTCACACAAGTTGCCTACCGTGTTTACATAGAAGTGTGCTTACAATTTTTTAATACCATAATCAGCGATCAAAACATCCTCGTAAACGTCCTTTGCGCTATCAGAATTCAAAATTTAATAAAAAAAATTGGTGCCTTTTTGAAAATATTCCAGGGCTTTGCATAAAGTACCCCCAAACATTAAAATATGTTTCAAATTCAAGGGGTCGTGACATCAGCCAGATCGATTTGGAAATATCAATTTTGGTGAAAATATTGCTAACGGTTTAGTCGCTAGCACTGTTCACAGACAGTCGGACTGCGGACCTTTTGCCGCCAATCGATTGTTCGGTATCAAAGGCCTACAAAACATGGAATCTTTACATAACGACATCTTTACTTTACATAAAGACAAAGTTTATTCACTTTCCATTACCAGGGCCTAACAATAAAATTTTTTCTGTCGAAAATTCGCTATTTTCTCCCAGCATTACAATATTTTCTCTATACTTCGAAAGCACTAGCGAGAAAATAAAGGTTATAGCTTTATTTTAAAATCGTCTCAGTTTCTGTAGCTGTGTGGCGAGAAAAACAAACAAACGAACAGGCAGGCTGAGCTTACTAGGTGCGGTGAAGGGAATTACGTCATGCTTATCACATGTCTTTCTTACCCCCCAAGCGAAGGAATTGAACTACGCCCACGCATGAGAGACACGGTTTGTTAGCCTGCAAAGTGGGACAATCGATCAAAAAAATGCCAAATACATAGATAGAAGGACAATAGTCACATCATATTTTCATGCTCTTCCATCTATAATTACCTAAAAAATGTTGTAAGGTAAACCTAGAGGGGAATGGATATCAAAAAGCCATCAGTCAGTGGGTCCTCGTACTGCCCATAGTGGAATTTTGTATTATTATTATTATTATTATTATTATTATTATTATTATTATTATTATTATTATTATTATTATCATCATCATCATCATCATTATTATTATTATTTTGCGAAAATATTTTTTCACCGTGGTGCTGCCGATATCAATTATGCCCTTTTTTCGCGCAGTGAAATCCCTCTCATTTATGCCATTTTTAGTTGAATTATGAATTAAATGTAGCAGCGCGCTTTCTTGGCAACATTTAATAACAATTATTTTTCCGTCTCACATAATAGAAACTTTGTGAACAAGTTACTCGTTTGGTTTGTTAGTATTGCCGTAACTCCAATTCTCTGGCATCTCATCAAAATGTGAGCTCGAGAAAACGTGAGCATAGAATGAAACTATGGAAGAAGACGATCATCTTCCACGGTAGAACATCACACTCCCTTTCAACCAGAGAGTATATAAAGCTCTTAACTGGCCGCCATGCGTTTGTGACGATGATTCGCAGACTCAGCCCGTTGCATCATGACTAGCCACAAAGAAAAACATTTCATGATTATTTCTGATCAGATTTTTCATGTGTACGGTTTAGTGTAGAATTTGAGATTTAATGGCTGGTTTTGTAAGGTCGAATACTTGACTACATAAACATAATACAAGTATGTACTGTTAATACAGTAACCTGCAGTGACAAGTGTTAATTATACATATTATATTATCATTTACGTAGTTGTTTACTCGTAAATCAATTTCAACTGTATATTTTAATGCTACTGAAGTAGGAACGGTTTAACTGGCCAAATTGTTATCCGGCATGTATGATGTCCCTGAGGTTTACAGAAATGAAGGATAAAAATCCTTTTTTTGTGCCGATAATTAAAATGATTTTTATATTTTTCTGATTGATATATAAAAAAGTATGCTGACTAAATGTCATTTTCCTCACTGGAGGTAATTAATCATTTTTATTGATATCACATTCTTTCGCAACCTCTCTTGGTTTCAATTGAAATGCGCGCGATAAAATATATCGAAATGAATTGAAATTAAGATATCGATACAATACGTGTACACTCTTCATTTGCCTCGCCTCCTGCTCGTCATTGCCCCTCTTATCCCCGCTGTCCAGCTCAGCTGCGTTCTGATGTTGTGGGTTAGGTCGGAACATTACTTGCCGATGTTGACGTGTGTGTAAGTGATTTGTTATTAAAAACTGAACTTCCTGTTTGGAGGTGAAGAACCCTGACAGTCATTCATGGAATGAAGCAAAGTTTTATGTTTTAACCGTTTTACTTGTGTACCTGAAATGTTGAGCATGATCATGTAGTTTTTACTTGTTTTCACGATTCAGTTAGACCATTTTTATTAGGAGTGAGAGCGATCTGTATATAAAAATTCCTTTACAGAAGTCGAATAGTTCGTCGTCCTAAGTGATCATGAGTGACATTACCGATTGGTTTAAAAGACTGCCAATATTCACCAGGTATTGGCTAGGGTTGACTGCTGGGTTTTCTCTCATAGGAAAATTAAAAATTGTCAGTCCGTACACGTTATATCTTTTATATGAACCAACAGTGAAAAGATTTGAGGTATTTACATTGCACATTTTGAATATACATGTTTAAATGAATTAAAGTTAATTTGTGTGTGTACCTTTTTTCTTAGTTATGGAGGCCTGTAACTGCATTGTTTTACTACCCCTTGACGCCGGGTACAGGCTTTCATTTCTTATTGAATTGCTACTTTCTCTATCATTATTCATTGGGACTTGAAACAGGTAAGTTCAAATAAATTACAAATAAAACATATAACAATTTTAAAACCACACATGTTATAAACATTCTAAAGGCTTAGTCATAATTAAATGTGAATTAATATTGATTACAAAGGTTCCCCTTCTCTGAATGATATTAAGTTAAGATATCTATTAGTAATTGTATGTAGAGTTTGTATAATTTTTTATTTTGATTATTAATGCTTGTTACAAGGTTTCTAATTGTTCTGACTGTTCTCTAACTGACATTTTTACTGATTCTGAAGTCTTCCCATCATCTTTTCACTTTAACGTGCTGGGAAAGACTGAAAGACCATACAAATCAAAATAGAAAGTAAAAATTAATAAAATAGTTCTTTAGCGACATTTATTTTTTATTAAATATGCATTTCACAAATGCTTAATGCCAATTAATAATTTTATATTTTGTAACTGCATTTGGTTACTATTATTTTGTGGCTATAAGGTGTGAATATTAAAATGGAGACTGACAAAAAATTGGATCGACCCAAATAAGGTATCTCAGACTTAATGATAATGATAATGATAATGATAGAGTTAATGATAAAAAAATGAAATTATAAAAAAGAATTGTAAAACCAAAAATATCATAAAGATTTAGTTCAATATTGGAAGAAGTGTGAAGAAAAAGGGACCAAGCGGTGCATCATAATAAGCATTGAAACCGGGTGAGATGGCTCAGGACATCAACTGATGTCATTGCTCTGTCCCTTTGACAGAGTTAGGTTTCGAGTCGTGACGGTGCCAGGATTTTCGACACTAGCTTTTCAGCTAGGATGAGTGCAGTAGCTGTCTGGAGGTGAATTCTAGGAGCCAGCTGCTCTGATTGGTAGTTTTCTATGTTTTTCCCAAACAACACCAGGCGAATGCCAAGGCAGTACCCTACCGAATGGGCTACGGACTATGTGTGATCTTTCCAAACTTTTCCTTGTCCTATCCTCTCTCCTTACACACACATTTACACTAACATGCACTACACAAGCACACATGCCAGGAGACTGGTCGAGAGCTTTGAGCTGGTTCTGGCTAGGGTGGTGCTTTGCTGGTGGGAGATTCGTGGTTGGGGGAACGCCGCTAGCTGGTGGTAGGCCGGATCTTGCCATACAGCGAGGGAAAGATCACCGCTACCTCCCGAGCCAAAACATACGCTTATGGGACTAATGACCCAGGTAGTTGATGTGTCCGGAATCACTAAAACAATCAATCGATCAATAAGCATTGAAATGGTAACTAAGCGAGAGGAACAAGAGAAATGGGAAATTGCAACTTTCGGAATAAAGGAACAGAGCATTATGTCTATCCTTCAATAGCTTATGATTATGATGATTACTATTACGAAATGTTAAATGGGAGAGTGTTAACATAGTGTTTCGCAGTGTCAAGTTATTTCATAGTTTGAAGGAACAGTTAAACGTTTTATTGAATGAAATCTAGTTTTTGAAATGAAAAGTTATTGCTTTATTTCAGGAAAATCATAGCTCAAGATAGAATAGATAACATTTTGGGGGATTGTTATTTTAAAATGTTATTGTAAATTGTAATATTTAATTTCATTCCAGGTGTCAGGGGTAGTATACTTTTTGTTGTTATATTTGTTTAGTTTAAAATCACAAATTCAATTTTTTTTTAGGTGAATTCAATGGACGTCCTGCTGACTACTTTTTTATGCTCCTGTTTAATTGGATATGCTGCGTAATTGTGGGCTTGCTTGCTGAAATGCCAGTATGTATTTCTTACAAACTAAATCGAGGAAGTGAAACAAGATACTTTTAATGTGACTTAATAAAAACCACAAAAAACAAAAACAAACTTGTTTTTCATTTCAGATTCTCATGGATCCTATGGTTCTGAGTGTACTGTACATTTGGTGTCAGTTGAATAAAAATGTTATTGTTAGCTTTTGGTTTGGCACAAGATTTAAAGCAATGTATTTGCCCTGGGTTTTGTTTGGATTCAATCTGATTTTATCTGGAGGGTAAGTCCTCTTTCCCTTTCATGTTTCTTCATTTTAGAGTTTCATAATTTAACTCTTATTTTTATTTTAGGAGCTTTTATGAACTGGTTGGCATTATGATTGGTCATCTATACTTCTTTTTGATGTTCAAATACCCACAAGAATTAGGAGGTCCAAGTCTTCTTCAAACTCCTTCAATACTGTAAGTATATGACTTAATTGTATTCACTTCCATAAATTAATTAAACACTTTAAATTATTGAAGATATTCTGCAGTTCAAAAATAATAATTGTTTTAAAATTGTAAAAAACGTTGTACTGAAATTCAACTTCAAAGGGCCAATCTATGAACTGGGTGTTACAGTGGTTAACACTGTACTGTTCTTGGGTAGTTGATGCAAGCAGCCACAGTTGCTTAAACAGTAATGTTGAGTATGGAACATCAGGTTGCAGATTGAAGTTCTGCACAGGCATGGGTGATTTTCACTCTAGTGTAGTGGCATGATTGGCTTTCCCACCCTTCATGCATCAACATACATATAATATTTCATTTTTGATCGGCCCAGATGGAGGAGGAGCTAGCATAGGCACTTCATCTGGGCTGTCTTCCCTGATCCTTCAGGTGTTCGTAAAGGAATGGGGTGCATTCCCAGAATCTTATATATCACTTACACACTAATCCCTTTTCGTGGTTGTTAACTGTATGATCTCTGTGTAATCTGTCAGTGAGCATGAATGAGAAATTGCCTCCACCCCCACAATAATGGTACTAGCACCAAGATAGGTGCAGAGGCTATTCTATGCACAAAAGTACAGGTTCAGATCTGAAGTGGCCATAAGGGCTAACTTGGCAAGATGGTTGGGGAGCACGAGGGTTTGTCGCACAGGAAAGAGGTCCTAGGAAAAAATGGTAGTAATTGTGGGAGACCTCCCTCGGGTGGCAATAGAAAGCACCTGTAAGCCGAGGTGTATCCAAAGGAAAAGAAAAGGGGATCTGTGGGCCATCTATTAATTATGTAATGTAAATTTTGAGTATTTTGAAAACCACCCTTCCCCCCCTATTAACACTGGCACCCCTCTACCCCCAACACGCACTCTTGAATCCCCACTGAAATAATTAGAGAACACTTGCAATAACACCCTCATTTACAGTAAATAAAAATAAATTATATTTCAGTGAAAACAAATAGTACTTATTGTGTGTTAAGAATTAAAATTTATGAGATTGAAGTCAGAATTATGCTGCGATTTTTCCAACTCTGTCCTGGCAGATGTCACACAATCGGGAGCTTGAATGTCACTGTAGTGATGTCACTATGGTGATGTTCAAGCTCCAGAATGGATGCTGTCAATAGTTGATACCTGCAAGGGGCAGAGTTGGAAAAATCACAGTATAGTTGGCCATATTGACTGCACCTAGCTGATTGGGAACTGAAGGAATGTCACATAGCCGAGACAATTTCTGGCAAGCCGTGCATACACTGTTGGGAATGACCCATTGGCAAGAGTCTACTACTCTTATTGAATTGGATTCTAGAATGAACTCTAAATTAGTTTTGATTATTTTCTTTGTTAGTCTAACAGATTCACTCAATAAACCATTGATGAAAAAATATCTTCATTATTGAAAGAAATTAAACGTAACTTTTTATTATATTTAAAAAAAGTTAATTTGTTAATACTTTAGCATAAGACTGAATAAAAAGAATTATTTCAGCAAATGTTGATAAATTAAAAAAGGTAAATATTATGTACCACTAAACTTAACACCCCCTACCCCTCTGTAACACAGCGTAACAATGCTGGAATCTACCTCTCCTCTCTTTTGCATTATGTAATTTACGGACAATCCCTAATCTATTGTGCTTAGCTAAACATTCTAGTATTGATGAGAGAGTATTAACAGAGACTTACATCAATGAGATTAAAGTGCAGAGGATATGAAATGATTGAATGTATTTTACATTGATTTAGAGATTCTGCTTGTTTCTGACTACTTGTGCTATGAAACGGAGGTACCTAAAAGAGTTAAATCAACAAATATGTAAAAGAGAATTTACGTTTAAAAAGGATTCACTTGGTAGAAATCGATTTAAGACACAACTCAGGCTTAGTGTGTCTCCCTGCATGTCCCTCTGTCTTGATCCCTGTCAGGTTATCCATAAGTTCTCTGGCATGTTTCCCGTACATTCCCCTACATGTCAGTGGAAGAACTCAAAAGATCTTATTTTGTTGAGTATGGGTTAAGAAATATAATTATATTTAGATTTGTCTTGTAATTTATTTGAACTATATCTTGTCTCTAGAAAGAGTACGTTCTCTCTATGAAAATTTTGTATTACATTTATTTATTTATTTATTTATTTATTTATTCCTGCTTTGGCCACAAGAGAGGGTTCGCGTCAACAAACTTTTTGTAATAAAAAAAAATTTAAGAAAAGCAAAAGAAGGAAAATTAACTTTCTTTAGAAAAGAGCCAGAGACAACATATAGTTTAAGAAATTTAACTTGGGTGTCCTAAGGGTGCCTGATGCTCGGATTTTAAGGGTCTGCAGTGTACTGTTTGTGAGTTGTGCAACAAATACAGAAATGCTCCAAAAAGATGCTAATTTTAGGTCTTATTCTATTAAGAAGGTTAATAAAAATGTTAAATTAATGAATATGTGCTATATCCTGTGTTGTCCTGCTTCCTAAGAAAGCTCATTGTCATTCTCATAAGTACTTTCCCTAAAAGAGGTAAAATCAGATTCTGAAAACTTACTTTACCAATTTCAATTTGCTGAAGAAGAAAAACAATTCTTACATGACTTCACACTTTGAGATATGTTTACGGCAAGATACCACTTGCCCGTTCTCAAAGATATGTTAGTTTTGTGTTGTTTTTTTTCTTTGATAAGTAGTATTTACTATTTATATATTGTCATTAATATCAAATAGTTTGTGTGAAGCTAGGAGTTATGATATCAATGTTGTAATTTACTGGCAAAATATTATTTAAGAGGTGTGTGTAGGACAAAATTATGCGAAAAATATAAATGTTATGATAAAGGCAAATTGATTACACAGAGATCAATGCACCTGTGAATCAGAATGTGTGGGGACAAAAATGAAAATGGCAAATTAAATTCTAAACTACTAAAGGCTTCGACATTTCAGAAATAGGAGGTTGGTGATGGAACTAGAGTTAAGTAGTTGTATTTGTGTTTTTGGGGATGTCATAAAATTGGTATAATTCTTGAATGTAAATGAACAGAACTCACCTTACAAATGAATATAAAAAATAAAAGTTGTTTTAAATGGGTATGTTTGGCTGTATATGGTATTGGCCTAAGTCTATCATTAAAGATGTGTACAAAAGTTCATTCACAAAAAATTTGACTTGAGAAAAGGAGGAAACCTGTGTATTTTATATTAGATTGAGAACTGATAAAAAGAGTAGAAGTTCTTAGTTCACCAGCATACAAGCTGACTAATCATTCAAGAGTACAGTGACTATAACATTTTATCTACCTGAAGTTGAATTATCTATCTTGAAGATGTATTAAAGAAAAAGTTCATGAAATCTAAAGTAGTAATGACGAACGAATTTTTGATATGGCTATTTGTTTTTGTCTATTGCAAAGTGAAGATAACTTGTCTACTTTGCAAAAGATACTGTTAAGTAGGTTAAATAATTCTTTAATTGTTTTTTCAATGCAGTGACAAAAGAAAGATATGATTTTATGGTTCATTCATTGTGCAGAAAGATTTTAATCTGTTCTCAATTTAAGATTGAATTAATATCTTTGTTATGAGTGTGATAAGTACATTCAATTGAAAAGCCGATAGAGCAATATGATGTGGTTCATGGTTGAAATGTTTAATACCTCTGCTGCAGACAGTGTGTTTATTTATTTGATTGTTCTTTATCTTTTAATTTTTAATTTTGTTTTAGGTACAATTGGTTTCCAACCCAGCGTGGCGGAGTGCATGGTTTTGGGCCTCCACCCGCAAACCGTCGCCCTGCAAATGCAGGTGAAGCTCCAGCGGCAGGGCAAGGCAGGCATCATTGGGGACGGGGGCATGTTCTTGGTGGTAATTAAATGGTAAAAGAGAAGAGGAGAGTCCCATTTGCGATGGTCTTATTCATTTTCACAAATTTTGTCATGGCTGTTGTGAAAATATCGTTGTTTGTCTCAAACTGTACCCTTAAGAAGAGTGTGCTACTGGATAAAATGGATAAAGGTGGTGAGAAGCCGTATACAAATTTTTGTAGGTGTTGAATTGAAAGGAATGATATCAGTGAGGGAAATATTGTTGATATAGTTTGGATGACTTCTCATTTGTTTGGAGTGAAGAGAAGGGAAATGAAGAATGTACCCTTTAAAATGTGGTTACTATACAATAAGTTAATGGATTGTACGTTTCAAATTTATTTTTAAGTGATCCAATGGATTGTTATTATTCTTTTTGTTGTTGTTTTTTCCTTTTCACACTGGACAAATGTTAAGGGGTCATCCAGGAAAGTTTGTCCTACCTCTTTTTGTTAAGATATTGTTTTGAGAATATTTTAGAATACGGTATTTGAATGTGGATGTATCAATAAACTTATCTAACTGTGTGTTTGTGATTACATGGTTTTATTTAGTAAAACTCATTGTTTTGATATTTGAAGGCATGCTGATTTATAAGAGAATTCTACCTTGCCTGCAGTTCCACGTTTCTTTTCATTGATATTTTTGTGAAACAAATATATTTTCTGAAAGTGTTCATCATGAAAAACCGCTATCAATTGTTTGACTTAATTTAATTACAATATAGGCCATTGGTAAATTTACAATTTTTTTCAGTAAATCCTAATTACATTACAAAAATATTATTTAAACACATCATGTTCAAAATAAAACCAATTGTTATTATTCTTTACTATATTTTATTTACTGCACTATAAAACAATATTTTAATTAAGATTAGACAGCAAAAGGAGTTTTGTTGTTTGTTAGTAGTCACTTTGTTCTTAAGCTGTTGAGCATCTGCTGTGGGGACAGTTTTTGATGATCACCTAGAATGTTGCTCTTTTTACTAGTTTTTTTTCCTCTTCAAGCATCTTTACCCAAAATCGGTTTTAAGTCACTTGAAATATACAGTAAAATCTATGTAAGACAGAAACCTTCCATCCCATACTGCAACTCTCAGAATGGAACGGTTTTATATGTGAAAATGACGTCTGTAAGCTGGAAAATCTGTCTAACACTGAAATTGAATGGTTTTTACAAAATGGTGATTATTTTCTGGCTAAGAAGGAAATTTATTTTTAAATTTCCGCCCCAATCCTTGGAATAGAATAGTGTGAAGGGACACATTCTGAGACAAGAGTGAACAACATGTTTTTAGTCATATGCTTCCTGTCGAGGAATCTTCGGCGAACTCTGTATCTGTTTCCCAGCGACTTTCTCAAACTTTAGTGTAGTTTTTCAAGGTCACTGTGTTTTCTTTTGATTTTTTTTATTTCGTGCAATATTTTCATTGATAAATTATGCTTTATTTTCATTTCTTTGTTTCATACAAATTATATTGAAAATATTGCCCTTAAATTAAATGGTGAATTATTAGCAACTTCTAGAAGATCTGCCGAGATGGAAATTTTTTAAGGAACAATCAGGTTCACTCCTAGACATGTTTTATTGTAGCTGCATTTTCTCTAGACTAAAAATTCATGTTTTAAATATTTTTCCTCAAAACAAGAATCAATTCAAAAAGGAATAGAATAATCTGCCCCATAAATGTATCCTTCACTAACTTTTCTAGGGTTCCTTATAGGGTTGGGTTAAAACATTGTCCAGGGTGCTGGTCTAAGTGGGGTTAGAGTAAGAACAATTTTCTGGCAAGACTTTTAGGTTGTATTATATACAAGACACCTCCCCCAAAAGAACACTGCCTTGCAGTAGCACTGTGTGCAAACGGAGGGTTACATGTTTTAGGATGTGGAAAACAATGCATGTTCATTTAGAGTCACCCATGCAGGCCAAGCTGCGAAAATATATGAGCATTTTGGAAAAGCTCAATTTTGATCTTGTTTTCACAGAAAAGTTTTGAGTTTTCAAGAAACTTCATCAGAAATGATTTGAAACACTTGTGTTTAATAATAATGTACAGAAAATTACTGTATCGTAATTATTAATCAAGTGAGAGAGATTTCAAAACACAACATTTTTGTAATTTAAAAAAATCACATGAAAAAATCAAAATGGCATTAGTGCCATTTTATTCAGTGTATTTAGCACTATTGTACAAGAAGTTTAAAGAAATATTTTTAGCAGTTTTCAAGAAAATGTTTGTGTTTCTGAAAGTACTGAATTTTGATCTTTTTCACAGAATAGTATTTGGTTTTTAAGGAACTTCATAAGAAATCATTTGAGGCACTTACATTCTTATATTTGTGAGTATATTTTTCAAGTAACATTAACATTAACAAAATGAGAGATATATGTTACAAAAAATACATTTGTGTAACTTGTGAAAAAACAACAACAAGAAATACAGCAAAATGGCATTTATATCATTGTATTTAATGCATGTATCACTACCCCAGAAAAAGTTTCAAGAAAAAAATTAGAGCAGATTATGAGAAACTCTTGTTTTAAATATTACTTTTTTTTCCATGCAAAATTCCTCCAAAACTATTAGTGTTTTGAAAAGTAAATGGCCTCGTTTAAAAATCTAATTTTAAAGAACAGATTTTATTCGGAGAAAATATCTCTATCTTCATTCTATACGGTAATTGAAGGAAGACACTGGAAAAAGGGAAGAACATTGGGAAAAAAAGGAAGACATTGAACTTTTGCAATTTTAGAAAATTCAGATATTTCAATGAAATTGAGATCTTGACCAGTTTTTATGTATCCTATCTAAGGCAAAATGTAAAAGAAATAAATCTAAATTTAAAAAGCTTCATGTAAAGTACCTCCAAAAATTAAAACATCGATTTCAAATTCAAGGGGCAGCGACATCAATTGGGATGATCGGGGAAGATCAATTTTGGTGAAAAACCTTCTTAAGGTTCTGTTGCTAGCATTGTTTACAGGCAGATTGTCATTTTTCCGTAAACAAATTTTTCTGTATCAAGGACTCGCAAAACATACAACATACTGACTACACAGTGGTTTAGAGGAAGTTATTTACTACATATCATCAACCATCTCCTGAATGGTCATATTTCAATTTTAATGTCCAAAATCCTAACGGAGTTGGATTCTGAAAACAAAGTTTTTTACACTTTTGGCATATGATGCTGTCGAGATAGGCATGTGCAGTCATTAGAACAAACAAAGGTTCTGAGACAAGTGTTGTTTATCACCTTTGTTTAAGATTTATGTGCAAGAAATTCTAAGAGATTGGTAAAACGTGCCAAGGTATGGGAATATACTTGTACATTGATGAAGATTGCCTTCATTGACAATCAGGTGATTTTGTTCAGTGATGGATTTGACACAGAGTATGTGATGCGAAAGTTGAAGGGACAACATCAAAAAAGCTGGATTAAGATCAGTTTCCACAAAATAAAATACATGGCTGTAGGAGAGAAGATAAGTATTGTATACCAATAAATGTAGATAAGATAGAAGCATCTTATAAATTTAAATAATTGGAAAGAATTATAAGTGAAGAAGGAAGGGAAGAGGAAAGATCTTGTTTTTATGATTACACAAGGATGACAAGCCACTAGAAAGTTAAACATACTGCTTTAAGGAAAAGAAATATCCAAGACTATGAAGAAAAGAGTTTTTGAGACTATCATACAATGTATAGCACTAAAAGACTCAGAAACCTGGGAATTAAGGAAAAGAGAAAGTGATTAATGAAAGTGTCTACAAATGTATTTTTTGAGAAGTTGTGGAGTAAATGGACAACTTAAGAAAATTAAAATGTGTGAGAAAAAAGTAAAATGGAACACTTAAGAAATGAAATTTTTAAGCAAATGAAGTACAAAAATCAATAATAGATGAAATGGAAACTTGAAGGCTGAAATGGTTTGGCTTATGAAAATTTTAAATCGCTATATCTCAAAGTCTGTTAATTGAGGATGAGGCCATTCACTCCCTAAGTCATTATGTGATGTACTGTTCGCCCAGGGTAGGTCCGGGAGAAACCTATGATTTTAACCTGTCATATTGTTCTCATTTGAAAGCAATGGATTCTTCATCCAAACTGCATCAGTTTTGCAATGTCCGTTTTTCCCTATTGATATGTCTAAAGACTTCATACACTAGCTGTTGTGTACAATGGATGTCATTTTCTAATTCACTAATAAATCTTCCCCATGATGTTTAGTGTGCTTTTTTAATTATATGTTTAGCAATGTTTATTTTTACTTTGTATTCCCATAGTGATTCATCAGTCTTTGTTGGTAGATGCTTTGTACCACTATTTTTTGATTTAATCCTCTCAAAATCTGCAAGTTCTGTATTTTTAGGACCTTTCCTTTTGCTAATTTTTCTTGGTTTCTCTAAAGCTTCTGATACTGTGCCTATTAATTACGGTTCTGATATTCACATATTTTTCTTGTATAGCATCACTAGTGATCACTTCAATCTTTTATGGTGTACTGATTTGGTACATATATATTTTTATATTCCAGCAGTATAAAAGACATGTTTTGTTACAAGAAATTGTTCATTTTTAAGTTTTCCTCCCTCCAGTAACACTGGTGTGGTGGGTATTTATTATAATATGGGATACAGGTTTGCTGCAGTCGATTAGACTTGTGCAGCTCCGATAGGACCTAACTTAAACAGACTAATTTATATTACCTTAAAACTTATGACGAAAGCCACTATGGGCAATTTCATTTTATACATGAGGTATTATTGTAGTTGTCAAGGTTAAACTTTCTAAGAAAATGTTCTTTGGTCTTTTTTTCTTCTCTTTTTCCTTTTTTCCTTTTCCCCCCCCCTTTTTTTCCCTTTTTTCACTCACACTTTCATTCTTAATCTGTACATACAAACACACTCATTCACATAAGCACACAACACTTCTCGGCACTGTACATTACATACACAAAGTTTGTTCGCCACGGCGCCGACTTGAAGGCTCCCACAAGCCGACGCGGAAGATCCGCAGGCTACGCGGAAAGGCCGCAGCGGAAATTTCGCGTCACGTGTTGCCTTATGAGCACGTTCAGACCTGCGCGGCAGGCGAGCGTCGCGGCAGCGGATTGGCAGCGTTTTATTACCTGCGAATTTTGGACCGCAGTCGGACGCGTTTCGACCGCCGCCGCTCCAGTTTCGTGCAAGTCCGGCCGTCTTCGCGAATCTTCGCTCCCCTCTGGTTCGAGCTCCCCTTGCCTTTGTTTATCGGACGAAGAAAACTCATCAAACGCCGAGTGATAATCGACGCTCCGCTGTGCGGTCCCGCGAGTTTCGTCGCCGCGTCTGGCGGGGAGCTTTCCGCGCCGCATCCGCTGCAGATTTGCGACTGTGGAAGCGTCAAAGAGTCCGTGGGGCCGCGACGTCTTGAATTGAAATAGAATTAATGCCTAATTTTACGTGGAGAGACTCAGGCCATTAGGTCTGCTCTTCCGTCTGACCACGCAAGTTTCGCCACGCTCCTTTCATCAACTAGCAGGGTAAGGAGTTATTTCTTGGGCGAGGAACAGGCGATTTTTGAATTTAGCTCAGAGGCATCATTTAGGCTTGAGGATCTTTTACATGCAAGTAAATCTACTAACATGGGACAGCCGG